AGGTAAGCTATTGAGGTTAAAATCGGTGTTTTTTCAGCACTGTGCACACAACATACTTGCTCACAGCACCGGTTGTTAAACTGGTTGCAGTCCACCCCTGGATCAAACCCATTTCACTAGTCCATCAGGGATTTCACTCTTAATGACCCACCTAAGAGGAGGATTTAGGACCAAGGACCACTTAATGATTCTCTGCCTACTTACCTAAGGAGCTTATTTAGACTACATAAGAAATGAAACCTCCCCAGGAAGAAAGATATGGTCTTCAGCTTGTTCAGAGTGAAGAAGCTACTTAGATAAGCAGAGAAATGTCTCAAGCCAAACACAAGAAAAGAAGACTAATTGCCTTGACCTAACTTCCAAACAACTCTACCTGGATGTCTGGGAATATTTGTTTTTTAAAAAACTCAGAGAATATTGTTTTTAAGTAACTCAAGCAGCATGCAAATTTTTGAGCGTCCCAGGATTCTTGAGATGGAAAACAAGCAAAGGTAAACAAAACTATATGTATGTATGTATGTATGTATGTATGTATGTATGGTATTCAGCTTTGTTTGGGTATTTTCCCATGTCATTCTAGTTGTGCTTTTAAAGTTGTAGCAACATTTCGGCAACTTTAAAAGCACAACTATAATGACGTGGGAAAATACCTGAACAAAGCTGAATACCATACATGTAAGTACCCGCGAATATATAAATAAATATATGAATTCTTTCAGGCACGAATTCTGCCATTGTAACCTTTTCTTCAGACAGAAGAGATTCACAGATACGACTGCCAATTTTTCAACAATTGGGACCAGAATTTCTGATTCTATGTATGATGTTTGTTAACTGAGTCACCGCCCAAATTTATTAAATGTTTGCCACAGTTGTTAAGCGAACTACTGCAGTTGTTAAGTGGAACATGCGGTTAGTAAGCGAATTTAGCTTCCCCCATTGACTTTGCTTTCGGAAGCCAGCTGGGAAGGTCAGAAATGGAGATCTTGTGACCTAGGAATAGAGCAACCACTGTAAATATGTGCCAATTGCCAAGTGTCTGAATTTTGATCACATAATCGGGGAGATGCAGTAATGGTTGTGTGAAGATTGGTGGCAAATCACTTTTGTCAGTGCCGCTGCCCCTTCTCATAGTCACTAAACAAAACACTGTCATTCGAGAGCTTCCTGTACTTTCTCATTTATCGAATTTATGGCATATATTTTCAGATAGGAGAACTACAGATGAAGGAAAGTCTTTGTCTGAGTATTTTTCTCAACTTAACTGGGTCTACAAATTGTATTTGACAGGGCAATCCATTTAAATCAAAGATTGCTCAACTACACACCACTCACCCAATGGCTGAATGCCGAAAATTAAATACTTTGTGCAAACTTAAATATTATTTTTACATCTATTCGAGGCTTATTTGGAACTATTGCATTACACTCTATTCACCCCGTTGCAAGGGCTGGCAGCCATTCAAACCGCAATACGGTTTGTTGCACGAACTATTTCAATATTTAAATAGATTTCTGGCACATTTCAGTGGGTGGCTGGGTTGAGCTGCCTATTCATTTTCATTCGTGCATCATTCCTAATAAAATAGGGGGACAAATAATATTATTTCCTTATTCTATGGAAGATTCTCAGTCATCCAGGTCATGGTTGGCCCAAAGGTGTTTTTTTCAAAAGGCAACAAGACTTTCTTTGGATTTTTTCTTGCAGACGTTTCGCTTCTCATCCAAGAAGCTTCTTCGGTTCTGACTGAATGGTGGATGATGGAAGGATTTATATTCCTTGCAGTCATCTGGTCATTAGTACTCTTTCTAAGAGTCATTGAGGCCATTTCAATCCTCCACCACTCAATCTGAACTGAAGAAGCTTCTTGGATGGTAAGTGAAATGTCTTCAAGGAAATCTAGTTGCCTTTTGAAAAAGCAGACTTTCCTCCTTATGACAAGATTCTGAAGCACGGGTTCAAGAGCAGGCAAGGGAAAGATACAAATAACAACAACAACAAAGTTTTCTGTGGTGTGAAAGGAATCAGTATATAGGAGTCAATATATAAAGGGCACTGTTTATGTTAAAAGGCACAAGAAGCAAAAAAAGATTGGAAATTTTTCACCCTTTCCTCTGATACTAAGAATCTTCTTAGAAGATCAGAATGTACAGGTAGTCCTCAAGTTACAACCATTTATTTAGTGACCGTTAAACTATAATAGAACTGAAAATAGTGACTTATAACCATTTTCACACTTATGACCATTCCAGCATCTCCATGATCACATAATCAAAATTCAGGCCGCTTAGCAACTGATTTTTATTTATGACAGTTGCAGTGTCCTGAGCTCATGTGATTCCCTTTTGCAATCTTCTCATAACAGTGGTGAGATTCAAAGATTTTTACTACCGGTTTTGTGGGTGTGGCTTGGTGGGCATGGCTTAGGTTGGTGGGCAGCGCTTGGTGGGCATGGCAGGGGAAGGATACTGCACAATTCCCCTTCCCTCCCCACCCTACTAACCTGCTTTCCAGCTCCATTCTCCTGTGCAGGGCAACAAAAGAAGACCCAGCCAATCAGCTGGGACTCAATGGGAGGCGGGGAATAGATGGGGGTGGAGCCAGTCAGAGGTGGTATTGGCTGGTTCTCCAAACTACTCAAAATTTCTGCTTCCGGTTCTCCAGAACTGGTCAGAACCTGCTGAATACTCACCTCTTTCTCACAAGCAAAGTCTATGGGGAAGCAAGATTCACTTAGCAACCATGTTACTAACTTAACAACTGCATGGATTCACTTAACAACTGTGGGCAAGAAAGGTCATAAAAAGGGCCAGAACTCAGTTTAACAACTATCTTGCTTAGCAATGGAAATTTTGATCTCCATTGTTCTCGTAATTCAAGGACTACCTGTACTAGATCAGCCCATGGTAAGGTTACCACAAGTAGTTGTTCAATCCTTACATTTTTATACTGAAGGTTTTCCTATAATCTATGCTTTTTCTTTTTTTGAAGCATTGTGCACAACTTTAGAGGGTGTATAACCTTTGACCTTACAGGCTTTGTGGCTCTTCTGAGTTCCTGTGATGAAGCCGTTGTGGCAGCATGTGGCAATTCAAGACACATTGCTTCATCTATCTCCACACACTTCCTTTCTTTACTTGTTTACCTAAGCAGTGCAAGTGATCCTTATTTAGTGACCATTTATTCAGGACAGTCCAAAATTATGATGGCGCCGAATAAGGAGGATTTGAATTGAGTTCTCACCCTTGAAACCACAGCAGCATCCCCACAGTCACACAATTCAGGGGCTCATCCACTGGCTCACAATGATGGCATTGTAGCATCCCACAAATTTTAACCTTCCCACTGCTTCCAACAAGCAACGTCAGTGGGGAAGCCAGCAGGAAGTCAGAGGTTGCAGTCACGTGAAGCTCTCCTTAAACAACGGTAGCTGGGACCGACGGGAATGGTATTGCACAACACTCTTCATGGCTTTGCCATTTAGCAATGATGTGTCTGGCTCCTATTGTGGTTGTTTAGTGACAATCACACGTATTGATTGTCACCGTTTTGAATTAGGTGGCCTCCAGATAAAGTCCCAAAGATCCTTTGATTGAATCAGAAAGTCTCACTTTAAGATAGCCCAAAAACTGGAACTTATTGTAAAGCTATATTCTTAATTACAATTTTTAGAGGTTTTGAACTATTTTTTGTTTTATATAGTTTTACTTGTTTCTATTTTATTGCTTATACTTTAGCACACTCTGTACTGTCTTCCCTCACAGAATTTCCATTTAAGTCTAATCATATTTTTTTTATGTGTACAGTGATACCTTGGTACTCATCGTTAATTGGTTCCGTCAGGCGCGATGACTATCAAAAGCAATGAATACCAAACAATTTTTTCCCCCACAAGGAATGATGTATTGAGTCACAAGGCAGCTTACGTTGACAAGCTCCAGCTTGTGTGTCGAGTACTAAACAAACGATGAGTAGCAGGACAAAATGTTTACATCCAACTGCATTGAGTACCAAATTTGATAGTTTCAAAGCAGTTGAGTAGCAAGATACCACTGTAATAGTCTTGGATCTTAACAATACAAAAATTAGAAATAATCAAGGGGTTACTAGTTCCTGTAGTTTGCACAAATCGTATAATATTATTCTGAAACTTGAAATAAGTTCTCACTTCAAACTATTGATCTGATTGATAGTTTGGATGTAAACAGTGGTTGGTGCAAATAAAAACGGAAGTAGAGTATAAACTTCACTATATGTCTATAGAGATTCTCAGTCATCCAGGTCATATTTATCTCGAAGGTGGTTTTTCAAAAGGCAGCTGGACTGTTCTTTTCTTCAAGAAGGAGGAAGAAGTTTCACTTCCCATCCAAGAAGATTCATCAGTTCTGACTGGAAGGTGGGGAATGGAAAGATAATTTCTGACAGAATGGAGGATGCAGATCAGTGGTGGGATTCAAAAAAATTTACTACTGGTTCTGTGGGCTTGGCTTGGTGGGTATGGCTTAGTGGGTGTGGCAGGGGAAGGAATACTGCAAAATCCCCATTCCCTCCCCACCCCGCTAACCTGCTTTCCAGCTCCATTCTCCTGTGCAGGGCAACAAATCATCCCATCCAACCAGCTGGGACTCAGGAAGCAGGGAAAAGATGGGGGTGGGGCCAGTCAGACGCGATATTTGCTGGTTCTCTGAACTGCTCAAAATTTCTGCTACCGGTTCTCCAAAACTGGTCAGAACCTGCTGAATACCCACCTCTGGTGCAGATAAACACCCAAGTGGCCTCAGTGGCTCTCAGAGAGCATGCTAATGACCGGATGACTGCAAAGAAATACAATCCTTGCATCCACACCCACCACCCAGCAGAACTGATGAAGCTTCTTTGATGAGAAGCAAAACCTCTTTTTCTTTCCTCAAGGAAAGGAAAGTCTGGCTAACTTTTTGAAAAAGCACCTTTGAGATAACTATGGGGTGGTTTGCTCAGACAGCGATAGCCAGATACTTACAAAGCTGCGACTCTGGGGATCGAAGCATCTTCTTGGATTCCTGCCATATGGTCTTACAGTCTTCCTGGAGCTTGTAGAATCTCTCTCTTCTCCAGGAAGTGGACTTGACTTTCAAAAGATGACTTCCCCGGAGCAGGAATTTGAGGTCATAGTCGTCTTGTAAACCTGAGGAGGAGCAACAACGTGACAATTAGCGCCCCAGTCTTGCTTTCCACATTCGAGGCATGCTAACTCCCGTACAGGTGGTCCTTGACTTACAATCATTTCTTTTAAAGACCATTCGAATTTGCAACGTCACTGTTAAAAAAAAGGTGACTTACAAACAGCACTCGCCCCTATGATCATTGTAGCATCCCCATGGCCTTGGGTTTGAAATTTAGGTGCTTGGCAACCAGCATGTATTAATATTGGTTGCAGTGATCTCGGGATTATATGATCTGTCATTTGAAATCTTCCAGCAAAATATCAATGCGGGAAACCTATTTTGCTTAACGAGCATTTGACAAATGCAGAAATTTGCTTAACACCCGTGGTAAAAAGAACATAAAATTAGGTAAGGCTCACTTAACAACCGCCTTGCTTAGCAATGGAAAACTTTTTAAAAAAATCTTTTTCTTCTTTTTTAATATTTCTTAAAATATGCCAGGTTACAATCATTTTAAATATTTCTGAAGTTTAAATCCAATCTGTAATAATGCTATAAAATGTAAACTTTTTCAGTGTTTTTATTAATGTTTTGCGAAAAAAAAGTAATTTAAAAAAACAAACAAAAACAAAATACAGAGGCCAGGAGGCAAAAGGCAGTCAGTCCCAGGCCTTTTGTTTTCAGAGGTAGAATATGTGGTTTCTTTTATGATTTTTAATTATTACCCAAGTCAAAAAAACTATATACGCTATTCAGATTGCATGTCCTTGCTGTATCTGACTTTTTTTTCCCCTTCAAAATCCCTCGAGAAAAACTGAAACTACATCTTATTTTTAAGCTGGTATGCAAAGGAGAATGGAAATTTTTATCCCAATTGGGATCCTAAATCAAGGACTACCGGTATCAGGTGCACAAAATTTCCATTTCTAAAGTAAGATAGTTGCTAAGTGGGTTTTGCTTCATTTTGCAACCTTTCTTGCCACCGTTGTTAAGGGAATCACTGCAGCTAGTAATACGGTTGTTAACTAAGTCGGACTTGCCTACTGACTTTACTTGTGAGAAGGTTGTAAAATGGAATCGCGTGTCCCCGAGAACACTGCAATCGTCATAAATATGAGTCAGTTGCCAAGCGTCTGAATTTTGATCACGTGACCATGGAATGCAGCAACAATTATAAGTGTGAGAAATAGTCATAGGTCATTTTTTTCAGTGCTGTTGTAACTTCGGATGGGCACTTATACGAGTGGTAGTAAAATTAAGGATTAGCTGTATATGTTCTTTTACCTGGTCAAAAATAAAACCATGCACTTTTTAAAAATAATTGTTCCTAAATACTTAAGGCAGCAGCAGCTTAATGTCAAAAATTGGTTAAGGGTAGAAGGTGGAATTTTAGGATTAGGTAATCTAATTTTATTATTAATATTAACAGTGTGTTAAAATATATTGTGGACTTATAACATTTAAGGATTAGAAATTGTGAGGACTTTGAGATATAATCCCGAGATTGATTAAATTTTGTTAGAATTTGGCCTTATTAGTAGGTCTAGAGACATTTGGGATATTGAAATTACAGTAGAATAATGAGTAATTTTTAAAATATTAAATATTAGTGACTTAATAGGGGATAACAAATGCATGGTGCAAAGAAATGTTATTTATGCTTAAATGAATTAATGGAAAAATGATAAAAGAATTATAAAGAGAGAATGGTATTGTTGAAGTTGGAAGGTTAGGATTACGTATACTTATTTGTATTATTATTGTTAGCATTGTTTAAAAAGGACATTGATTCAGTCAATGAATACGCTGTCCACAAAGTACGTATGGTAAGAAAGGAAAATCGCAAATAAAACATGAGTTTTGTTTTGTTTTTAATTCTTTCAGCTTTCCATCAGCCCCATTTACATGGGGACATTCCTACCCAGATAGTTTACAGAGAAAACATCCTATGTGCTTATATGAGGCATTTCCAAGCTGGGGTAGATATGTGGAAAAGGATCAGACTTGATTAGTACTTGATCCTCCAGGAAATCCCACATCAGCAAGGTGAAAAACAGGAGAAAATTAGAGCCAACTGCTTTAGGAAGGTATTTGGACCCACTTTTACTTGATACCTTTTTAATTCTTTCCCTGGCAGGAGTTACTGAGCTGATAGGGGAAAAAGGAGTGGAACTTATTAGCATTTGAAAGGGAGACCACAAGGTAATCCCAAGGCTGTGGGGGGTGATGCAATATTCCAGGGGAAGGCCATATTGGCAGTCCTTCACTTACGACCATAATTGATTCTAACATTTTTGTTGCCAAATGACACAGTTAAGTGAATTTTTCCCCATCGTGCAACCTTTCTTTCCATAGGTATTAAGTGAATCACTGCAGTTCTTAAATTAGTGACAAAGTTGTTAAGTGAATCTGGCTTCCCCATTGACTTTGCTTGCCAGATGGTCACAAAAGGTGTTCGTTCACATGACCCCAGGGAACTGCAACAGTCAAAAATACGAGTCAGTTGCCAAGCGCCTGAATTTTGATCATATGACCATGGGGTTGCTGCAAAGGACCACCTGGAGTGAACAACTTTTGTGTTCTTCCCAAGAAAAATAACATCATGTGCATGTCCATCCATAAGATGCCAAGCTCAACTGAAAATAATAATAATAATAATTACTTTGACTAAATGAATGACAGAGTCAGAACAACGCAAGGTATGATTCACCTAATTTTACCGTAGAACTAATTGAATGCAGCTGACATTACTGTACTGCTACTGTTATATGTATATGATTATTTTCCTCATTGCTGACATTAAAAGTGTCATTTGGTGGCAGCTCTCTTAGCTATGACTTGCATTTAAAGCTTTTCAGGACTGCATGCTTACTTTAACACACACACACTGATCTTGGACTGCAATACTGCCATTCCTGGTGATTTACCAGAATAATAGAGTTGTGTGGAAAAAAATGATCATAAGGCACTTTTTCCATGCTGTTGTAACTTCAGACGGTCATTAAGCAAATGGTTATAAGTTGAGGACCTCCTGTAAAGGTGAAGGAGGAGAGATGCATTTTCAAGACTTGCCATGTTCTGCTGGTGTAACCTTATGTCGGCTCGCTATGCAAACTCCACTCACAACCAGATAGCAGCAATGGGAAGTGGGAAGGGAGGCACTGGAATGGAAGGGGGGCATTGGTAAAGGTAAAGGAATGGAAGTGTGCCAACCTGAAGCCTGAGAGAGATCCAGCACCCCAAGATCATCAGCTGGAAAAGTCTGAGAGAGGGAAAGGGACCTCGGAGGTCTTCTAGTCCAACCCTCTGCTCAAGGGGAGACCCTATAATACCTCCATGTCCAATCTCTTCTTGAAAACCTCCAGTGTTGGAGCCCCCACAATCAGTTGTTCCACTGATGGTCAGGAAACGTCTCCTTAGTTAGTTTCCAATCATTGTTTCTTATCTTGCCTATTGGTGCTTTGGAAAACAGTTTGACCCCCTTATCTTTGTAGGAGCCCCTCAAATATTGGAACCCTGCTCTCATATTGCCCCTAGTCCTTCTTTTCCTTAGACTGGACATTCCCAGTTCCTGTAATGGTTCTTCATACATTTTAGCCTCGAGTGTGGCCAAACCAGAGCTGTATTTTCACCAGGCGATCTTTGCCATAGGGCAGCCCTAGTGATAATCTAGCCTGGAGGCCTTTGAAATACTCAACAATTGCTAGATTTTAAAAAAAAATTCTTTTTTTTTCTGTGTGTTGTGTATGTTTGTTTGATATTTTAGTTGTATAATCAATAAAGTTTGGTGTTTTTTTTTAAAAAAAGAAATACTCAACAAGTTGACTTCCAGTGGCGCTTCCATCGACGACAGATCAAAGACCACGATCATGCATGGCTTTGATCCGTGTTTACCTTGTTGGAAGGGTCCCTACGGGACCAGAGTCATCTGACCTACCTTAGAGGGGTAGGGGAAGAGGGGGAGACCACCAGCTGGGTCGAGGAGAGCCGCATCTCCCCTCCCTAGCTAGGTATTACTCCCTGGAAGACAGGGAGAAACGGCAGTCTAAAATGGCTGCCCTGAATATGGAAAGCTGCCGGGACCTAAATATGTGCTAGAGTGGTGAAGTGGTGAGCGACATGTAACCAGATAAAAGAATTTGATTTTTTCTTAACAACCCCGAGAAGGAGAAAGAAAGAGCCCTCGCGTAAGAGTATCACAGCGGCGAACAGAAAATAAGAGGAAAATACAAGGTAAACAAAATTGTAGTATAAAAAGCTACAATGAAATTGAAGACTAAATTTTGAATAATATAAATTGGCATTAATTAGGCATTGGATAAAATGCTGGACTTGCCTGGAATTGGTTATTATTAAAGAACTAATTGTGGAAATAGTTGGAAATTAAAGTTTAATATAATTAAAAAAGAAAAAAAAAGAACTTTGAAAAGTGGAAAGTGATACAGAGTCAAAGAATTTTTCCCTACAAAATCTTATGGAAATTTACTGGACTTATAACTGTTATGAAATAAAAGACAAATAAAATAATAAGAACCCCAGAAATTTAAAAAAAAGGGGGGGGGAGAAATTCTACTGAGAGGACATACAAAGGCAATTCCCTGGGACTGTTGGGTGTTGATTGTGACAAAGACACAGAAGGATTAACAAGAGAAACAAAGATAAAAGGAGACTTTTGGCAAGGATTGCAATAAAAGACTTTGAATATCAATAACTTAACTGATTATAAAAAATGGAAGAAATAAGCGAAGACTTTAAGTTGGAATTGCAAATTGTAAGAGGAATGCTGAAAGAAAGAAGGGTATTATTGGAAACATTGGGAAAGAAAATAATGGCGATGGCAGAAGAACAAAGAAATTCCAGTGAGGCGGAGTTAAAGGAAGAAGAAAGAGGCTCAGATAGACATGGAAAACAAGAGATACTGCCAAAGGACACTAAAGGAATTAAAACTATGACATTGATGACAGAGTCAATAAATAAAAGAGAAAATGCTCCCAGGATTAAACGAAAGAAGAAATTATAC